TGTATGTGCAGCTCAGTGGGCAGTCTCAGCATATCTTGGTGCCATGACAATTTAACTCCTGTGCATGGGAATTGCATCTTTCCCAGCTAGCCATTCAAAATGGTTGAAGACTCTGGACCTGGAAGAAGACCAGGGGAAAGATGGAAATGCCAGCACGAGAACCTGTGAGGTTTTCAGAGTCATCACTAGAGGGCAGGTAAGTTATGCTTTAAAAATGAAGTAAAAGTGGAGAATTCCATACAACTTCACCTATTTCAGGTTCCACTGGTAATTTGTATGAATGTTTTTACTAAAGGTGACTTATACTAATCTTATTTCACAATGCTTGGTTTTCAAAACCACATTTTCACTTTTATATGAAGCTTCCCTCTAAAGCAAACCCCTTTATACTGAAACACACGAGTTTCAAGTCTCTAAACTGCATATAAATCAGCTTTTAACCTGTTGGCACAAGCCAGATATGGTATCATCCTGTTCAAACTGACTGCACAAAATCAGCAGGAGACAAGATCAGGGAGTGTGGCCACAAGCAAACCGCTTTCCTGCATTGCAGTAATATGATTTCCAAACTTTTCTCTATAGTGAGAAGCATACAGAAACTCAACACTGGGGAGTACATTTTGTGCTGTAGGACTGCTTAAGGCAAAATATGCAAACCATGAGCTTGCTTCTACTGTAGTTACAGGGTACAAGCTGCTGCTCATTCTTAGACATACATATTTAAGTACTGGCATTCTTCACCCAGCACAACTTGCCAAGCCAGAGTCCAAACATTCTGACATTCGTACTTTTCCAGATGACAAGGGGCAAGAAAGAACACAGGTATGCAGTCATTTTAGGCAAGACTGCCATCAGATGCCAAATGTGGAATAGCAATAGCATGGTCAAAAACAGATCTAGGTCTACGAGTGACAAAAGTGATGAGATCAATTTTAGCAGTGATAGATTTAAATCTATAGCAGGAGACACTACAAAATGTTGGGAAGTCTGTGGTCATCAAGTGACCATTGCCATCACTGAACAGAAAAAAAAGAAAAGAAAAAAAGACATTCCATGTCAGCCAAGACTACTAAAGTAAGTGCCTTCAGTATATATTTTGGGTGGGGACAGGCAGGATCAGTAATCAGGTATTCTCTGTGAGAATTTAAGCTGTGTATGAGCATTCCAATTCTCAAGTGCAACAAGAAAAATTGAATATTTGCAACAAAACGACTTGTGTGTTTTTAAAGGAAAAGTGTCATCAAAACTGATTAATTTTGTTCTGGGTAGAATAGTGATAGCATACCTAGCATAGGTATAACCGCAGTCACAATATGACATTACATGGCCATAAATGCCTCTACACAGATTTCCTCTGGATGCCACATGCTCCTGCTGCCTGTTTGTGTTCCAGATTGTTCACAGTATATGGAGCGAGCACCAAATTTCAGGCAGGAGTAGCAAAATGTGTAGAGAAGAAAGAATATCACAAAGAAAAACTCACAGTATTGGAATCTCATATCAGGGCTTCTGCAATAAGCATTGTAAACACACTGTAAAGATTTCTTAACCAAAAGGTCTGTCACTGACAATGCAGAGTGGATGTCATTTTGATGGCTGAACCACCAGATGTGAGTATGTAAGAAAATATGGTGATTTTGCTAACCATGCAATAGGACTACTAGCTTATTAGTTTTGTTGGGTACACAGCTTATAAGTGAATTGGTGGAAGCAAAACAGTAAAATAAAATTTGGGGAAAAAAATAAATAGAAAAAGGTGAAAGGATAAAAACGATCTTACCCATAGGTCATGCTCCGCAAAATCAAATAGAAGATAGACCTTCCTGTCCGCATGGGAGAGAAATACTTTTTGTAGAGAAATGACATTTGGATGTTTCAATTCTCGTAGAAGCTGTAAATAAAGGATATGAAAGCATTATAAGCTTCACTTGACAGATCAATTCATCCAACCAAAATGTTTAGTTTAATGAAAGGGCTATTACTAAACATTATGGTACAACATACTAAAATAGTAAGGTCACAGTTTGGAAATGCAGTAAGTGCCCCCTGAATGGTGTTAAGCTGAGCTCTGCACAGAGACAGAATATTAAAAAGTGTACGTAAACCCCAAATCTAAGCCACTTCCTCATAATTAGCAGCAGTGTTTTCAGCCAGAGGTGCGAGCAGGCCAAGGAAAAACGTTTGCCACAAATTTACGAAAATATTTGCTTCAGAAAACTCTATACAAGACATGATGACATGAATTTGCTTCCCCTTAAAATAACATGTATATGCAAGCATCAATGTTGGGACTCCTATTATGGGCTTAATTATTTGACACTATGAATTTCATCATAAAAAAAAAAAAAAAAAAAAAAAAAAAAAAAAAAAAAACACAGGCTGTAAACAAAAGCAAGCACCTAACTTCATGTAATTTGACACAGCTTACAGACCACCCTTGTAGCTTGAATTACAAAATGCTCATAATGCAGATAAGACCAGCTCTCTCTCTCTTCCCACACTTCATTATCAGTCAGTGAATCTGCCCATCACAGTGATGGGCCAAGATTAAAATAAGGCGGGTGGAAGGGGGTGGGTCAGATTTCCAACTGCAAGAACTGAAATTTGTTACTAAAATGGGGGAGAAACAAGTACATTTTAGTCGATCGTCAACATCAGATAAAAATCATTGAAATAAATAGACACGTTTATTCAAATTTCAGAAGGTTTTTGGGATATCTGTGTTTGTTGCAGTAGTAAACTGACCACCTGTCCAAACTTGTAAGAATACAACTTGCATTTTATATCTGTGAGCATACATCCAACTTGGAGTTTTAACCAGCAAGTGTCTAGTATCACAAACCAGGTTTCAAGCTGTGTGGCTTCAGCAGACTTCTTGGTAACATTACAGGAAGGGATGGCTTATTTTTAAACGTTAACCTTTGGGGCTGTCCACACCAATTATTACTCAACTACTTATCACGCCAAGGTTGCTTGAAATTAGAGCATCTCATAGATAACTGCCAAGTGCACTTCAAATGCATCAAACCTTTCACGAAAGGGTCAGCAAGTTAAACTTCTAAAACAAACAAAAGTGTTAATAAAATCACTCAGAGTAAAAAGGAAAACATTATAATAAAATCACTCAGAGTAAAAAGAAAACATTATGAAACGACCAGGCAAATGGGGCCAATAACAGGTACACTAAACTAAGTTATTCCAATAACAGTAGTAATAAACTCACTCGTTCACCAAATAACACTTTACAATTCTGTCTGCCCATGTTAAAAAAAAAAAAAAAATCAATAGTGAAGAGAATATTCTGCAGAATTCTAAGTTTTTGATTCTTGGTCCCCCACTGTGTGCTGTTCCTCCCTCCTACAGAGTAGTGATGTAGAAGCCAGAAGATCAGACCACTATGTGCAGCAGCGGACCAGCTGTCAGTTAGTCACAAGCAGTGTCAAAGGATTAATCTCCGTAGAGGGTTGGGTGGTATATTTGCCAATAAAAGGATGTTACGGTGAGTAAAAACAAAAAAAAAAAAAAAAAAAAACCACAAACACAAATCCCGTTTTCACTTCCGATCGTTAACAGACACAGTGTCGTCTTCTTTATCCATGACCAAGCAGGGATGTCCCCAAGCAGTGTCATAATGAAGGGTGGACAAACCAAATCAATGGAGAAAAAGCCCAGCGCAACATGCCAAACACTCCGAAAGACCCTAAAGGGGTGCCCAGGAACCCTAAACAGCTGCCTGCAACACTTTGCGGCCAAAACTAGCATCGGAAGATGCCAACTTTATAGAACTTAGTAAACACGTACAGAAGACCAAGTTGCTAGTTTGCAAACCTGAGAAACAGATACCTGATGTGGGAACAACTAGGAGGGACCAACTGCCCTAGTGAAGTGTGCTGTAAAAGGATAGGGAGGTTCCTGCCCATTGATAGAATACGCCTGCACAATTGTCTGCCAAATCCAAAAGGGAAATAGTTGCAAAAAAGAGGCAGCGAAGGCAGAGTTATGGAACACCTCTGGATGTACGGGCCACTCGCACTGATCCATCATCGGACGGCTGAGAAAATCCGATTGCCAGTTTTCAATGCCTGGAATGTGTACGATGGGGACAGAGCCAAAACAAACCTCTCCGCCCATCGCAAAATGTGAGATGCCTCCAGCACCGCTGCTGCACTTTTCGTTGCCCCCCTGATAACGGACATACGCCACCGCAGTGACTGAATCCTGGTTGGCAGACCTGTCAGGTGATCCATCCAACCTGATTGCTCAAAGTTCGAGGACATTGATGGGCAAGCGAGTTTCCTCCGGAGTCCAGCGACCCCGAGCCAAGTCCAATCCCAGGACTCCTCCCCAGCCCGACAGGCTGGCATCCGTCATGACCACGGACCAGTGAATAGGGAGGAAGGACTTTCCATTCTGTAGACCTCATCTGCCAAAGAAGGGAGGCCTTAGTCAACCACTCCAGGTAAAATCGGAATGCCCAAGGAGGCGGAAGCCCTGTTCCATCTGGATAGGATTGCCCTCTGCAGTGTTCTCGTATGAAACTGGGCAAACGGAACCGCTTTTAACCACTAGCCTACAGGGCACGTATACCTCCTTCCTGCCCAGGCCAATTTCCAACTTTCAGCGCTGTCACACTTTGAATGACAATTGCGTGGTCATGCAAAACTGTACCCATATGAAATTTTTATAATTTTTTAGAGCTTTATTTTGGTGGTATTTAATCACCTCTGGGTTTTTTATTTTTTCTTAACCAAAAACCACTGAAAAGTTTGGAAAAAAAAAAAACTGTTTTTTCTTAGTTTTTGTTATACAAATTTGTAAATAAGTGATTTTTTTTCTCCTTCACTTATGTGTGCTAAGGAGGCTGTAGTGATGAGTACTGATAGGCTGCACTAATGGACACTGATAGGTGGCACTGATGGGCATCACTGATGGGCATTGAAAGGCAGCACTCATATGGTACTGTTAGGCGGGCACTGATAGGTGGCATGACGGGTGACACAGCACAGATGGGACGGGCACTGATGATAGGTGGTGGACACTGGCAGGTGCATGGGTGGACACTGGCAGGTGGCATGGATGGACAGCAGGTGGCATGGATGGACACTGGAGGTGGCATGATGGACACTGGCAGGTGGCATGGATGGACACTGGCAGGTGGCATGGATGGGCACTGACAGCTGGCACTGATTGACACTGACAGGTAGCACTGCTGGGGCTACACAGATCATCAGGGCACACTGATCATCAGTGCTCTGATGATCTGTATACACACGTCCCCTTCGAGGAATGCCGATTACCAGCTCTACTCTCCTCAGGAGCTGTCAGCGTGATCGCCGCGCACTCCCGGAGCTGCGCATGCGCGGTTAGAATGGGAGGACGTCATATGACATCCTCCCAGAATGAGAGAACCACCTTGCGCCCGTCACTGTACTATATGGCGGGCAGGAGGCGGTTAAAGTAGCCACCATCATGCCTAACACCTGCATACAAAACTAAATCAGGGAGGGCCGCCTGTAAGCCAAGAGTTGCCGGACCACTGATTGGAGCTTCAAAAATTTTTCTAAAAGGAGGGAACACCTTGGCCTGCTCCAAATAAATAAAGGATCAGCCCCAGATAATCCAGGCGCTTGCATGGGGTCAACACCAATTTCCTGAGGTTCAGAATCCATCCAAAATCCTGTAGAGAATGCATGGTGATCTACACACTGTCTAGTAGAGACGAGCAATGCCACAAATTGGTGCATCCCCAATGAAAAAGCGAAGGAAGCACTGATGCCCCTTGCAAATGCGGATGTGCAGGTAAGCGGTCTTGTTGTCTAAGGAGGCCAGGAAATGTCCTTGGCAGGGGGAGGCTACCACTGAGCAAATAGATTCCATCTTGAACTTGTGAACCCGCACCAAGGCATTCAGGGCTTTTGAGGTCCAGAATCAAGCAAACCCTGTCCACCTTGGGAACTGTGAACAGCTGGAGATAAAAGCCTGTAAACTGCTCCAAGTTAGGCACCGGGACGATCACTCTGGAGAAGCAGGTCCTGCACAGCCCCATACAGGGCCTGTAGACACCCTGGCAAAAGCTGCATATTGGAGGGAAACAAATCTGTTCGGATGAAAGGAACCCAGAGAGTGATTTCTTGGACCCACTTGTTGTGAATGACAGAGGTCCATGGGCCCAGAAACTTGCAAACTCACCTACCCTACCCTGGAAGTTGTGGGGGCAAAACTTCATGCTAAAGGGGAATTATCCGCAGGCTTGGAGGGCTTTTGGGGCCAGTGGCCCTTGGTGCCACCAGCGAGATCCTTGAATGATCTGGGGCCATTGGCTATGGAACCGTGGGAACACAAAAATGCGCTTATGTGCCGTGAATGCTGGCCCAGACTTCAGATGAGGTTCCTGCCCTTTCTTGGCCTGAGGGAGGAAGGTACACCACTATAAAGGTTTCTGATCATGTCATCCAGTGTAGCACCAAAAAAGGACGATCACCCTGAAGGGCAGGTCCTCCAGGGCCTTTTTGGAGGTCAACACTTGAGCCAAAGGACCCGCTGGAGCTCCACAACTGAGACAGACAGTTAAGAGAGAAGTGAAGCTGCATAAAGGGTCCGTCAGCTCCACATAAGCTTGGGGCATCTGACTAGAAGTTAAGGCTTGCCGTAGAGCTCTGGCCCATTCCGCCAGTGTGTGGGATACCAAGGCCGTAGCCAACGCCGGCCTAAGTGCTGATCCGATGCAAATAGAACGGGCCTCCGCCCTGTGGTCTGCAGGATGCTTAAAAGAGGGAGATGGCCTTGTTAAGCCTGGAGATGGGAGGATCCACCACCAGCTGATCCACTTCTGCAGCAGGGCCTCCCCAAAAGGGTAACGCACTGCAAAGAGCACAAAGACGCGTCAGCTGACTCCAATCCTTGTAGACAAATTTGTCATAATTCTGCAGGGTAAGGAAAAACCTTAACAGCCCAAACCGGCTTGTGTGCACCATAGGGGACAGGCACTATATCAGACGCCCCCATAGAGTCCAATTTTTACCATTTCACGCACAGAATTGAAAGGTGCTGCTACCAATGTCTTTTCCTGTGTGGCTACAGAGGCAGAAGACTGGTCATTCTCATCCAAGGAATCAGGGGATGCGTCATCAGGGGATGCGTCATCAGGAAATGCGGAGCCCGCGGCAGCGGAATCTAGCTAAAATCATCCGAGGAAGAGGGTGATGGCACGGGACGCTTCTTCCTCACTTTTGCGGCCTTACATTGGATATGAATGACTCCGGGACAGCTCACAATGCGTCTAAGGAAACAGAGGGACCTGGAACCTCCAGAGAGGGCCCTGGAGGGGCAGCATGCTCCTGAGACTCCATGGGACCAGCCCCACCAGCTAGGCACACATCAACAAGAAGGGGACACCGACAAAGGCCAAAGTCCAGAAGAATCACCCCCAGGAAAGGCTAGTAGGGAGAGAGGGAGAGAGAGGGACCCCCAGAGAGGACTCGCCACCTCCAGTAGCTGGAATGCTGCTCGATAACTCTGGGAAAATAGCCGCCACGGCTACGGAAACATGGTTGTTGGCTCTCAAATTTTGGCACGCTCCGCGCCACCCGAGTCCAGGTAGGCCCCCAAACCAGGCATAGGCATCCCTCAAGAAGTAGGACAGAGCCCGCCAGCCTCAGGGTAGCCCCAGACGTCCGGCAGGAGGGGGAGGAGATGCAGGCTATGAGGGGGCCAACACTACTTGGGCCTAGGAAACATGCAGGCACCCGGCCCAAGCCGACGCCTGCACTGTGGCTGGCAGTGACCCCACAGCCAGGTCACCTGAGATACTGCTGTGCAGGGAAAAGGAAGGTGGGGGTGGGGGAGGGTGAGAGGGGAAACCGCAGGACCAACAGTAAAGAAAAATACGCCGTAACCATCAAAGAAAGTAAGAGAAAAGGTTTTAGGCTACTGTACTTAGTGTGCCTAAATACATTTGTCCTGTGACAACTCAAGACCAATGAAATAACCGGATGTCCTTTAGGTAGTGGCTGCCCAGGCCATAATAAAAAAACAGAACTGTGTTAGGCCCTGTAACATGAAGGTCTGCCTGTCAGTTTTTGCACCATCCGTTTACATGCCTATCTTCAATCCAATAGAGTACTAAAAAAACAAAACAAAAAAAAAACAAAAAACACATGGAAGACGATCCATCTCCCTCCATTTAGGATTGGATCACAGGACAGTTAGATGTAAAAACAGACAGCAGAGTTAGTTTTACACCAGGCCACCCATAGAGCAGAGAGGATTATTCTTAAACTGAGCAGACACAGATGTGTCATCTGCCTGCTCTACTCAGCAGACAGATCCCCTGCTGATCTAAACGGAGTCCGTCCCATTTGAAAGGGGTCTAAGTTTGGAAAATTACATGAAAAAATACCGTAAATCAACAAAAATATACTACTACCATATATCTGGGAATATAGGGGTTAACTGAAATAACACAAAAGACCCTGATCCATGTACAAGCAGCATGATTTGTGAAGGCAGAGGGCGAATTGACTAATGTAAAGTAAAATTCTACTTACAGCTATTTCTCTGCATGCAGACATAGAAATTCCAGTACCTTCTATTTGTTTCAGAGCATAATCACGGTCATCTTTCCTAAGATGAAGAAAAAAGAGGCAGTTAGTGGTTAAAGCATGAATCTATCAGTACTAAGTGCATATTTAACTGGTAAGTTATCTAAAATATATTACACCATGTAAGACATCTGCCTTCCAAAGGTCACACCAGAGGCACAGAAATCACAGCTCTCCTCCTAGGCTCACATCGTACTACAGGATATTGTAGCTACCAACTACAGCCTCACTATGCTGGACATTGTGGGGAAGTGGCATAGTAACCCCTACTTGCATGCATGTAATGCTCTATCATTGGTGACCTACATTTTGCAACGGCACCGTCATCCAGCTAACAGAATGTGAACATATAAAAGCAGGAAAATGTCACTACAGATTTTAGCAATCCTGTCACAGGGAGACATGGGCCGATTTTCTTTGGAAGCAGAGACTTGGCAGCCTGCCAGCCTTTTAGGCCCTGTTAGGATCTCCACATTTCCGAACATGTGGCAAATTGCACAAAAATGCGCATCCCACTTGTCATTAAGCGTGGGTAGTGGGCGTTTGACGCATGTTTGGCCACAGGACAAACACTCTACAAATACGCCAAAAAGAGAGGTAAGGAAACACACCAAATTGCACTACAAAACAAAAAAAAAAAATTACAGGAGATTTTTTGGGGCATTTCCCACGCATAAGGCAGCAATTCAAGTGAATGTTGCCTTATGCGCAACATGTACTAACAAGCAAGGAACATGCTTGGGAAGAAGCCTTCCCACTATGCACAGATGTGACTGGGGCCTTAATGTAAACAAACATCAGGTGCTGTATGCTGTTAAATTTAAAAACGAGCAAAAGCACACGGTACCCTCAAGGAGCAGAGACAGGAATTTGCAGCCAGGCTATGCAGGATTAGGATGCACTTGATCAAGCAGCTCCGCAGAATGAAAGCAGTCATGTACTATAACTATACAAGCAAAAAAGTAGTAAAGCACTGCTCTCACGCAATGAAAAATGGCACATTTAATGAAAACAGAGTGGCAGATCAGAAAATGTCACAAGGGCAAACTGTGTCTAAGGCCATGGTAAGTCAGATGCATCTTGTATCCCATGATCATTGGCGGGGCTGCAGTACAGTTCTCAGCTGTTATCAAATCCTCTGACATGACAATTGATATCATAACAATAAGTGGCAGTCCTGGTCTCCTGAAGTCACCCTAGGGAGGGAGGGGTATAAACTGTATCCAAGAAAGGGTTAGGCAGGCAACATATTTCAAGGAATTCATCATCTTTTTCAAGTCTGAGTGACATTAATAAATGTACCATTTTTACTACAAAAGATCTGTGTGCTCTTATTGCTGTAAATTGCTGGACTGATTGAAACCCGACTTCAAAGTCTTTACTGTGATCTTTGTGGATGAATAACTACACAGGCCTATAATGCACAGTATCCACAAGCACAAAGAAATCTGCGGCTCGAGGTCAGAGAGGGTTTGTTTCAAAGTACCTTTACTGCTTGTTATGAATATACAAATACTTTAGAGCAGATTCACACCTATGTTAACACAGCGTACATATCATGGTTACATTCATTTTAAAAAGGCCCCCCAAAGCCACCACACATCAGTGCACCACAATGCAGTTGCACACTTACCCCATGCTGTGATGCACAGTCGACTGAATATGCGGTCTTGACAAAACACGCATTAAATCACTGCATCTTTAAAAATGTGAGTGGATCCCAATGTCCAGTCTACCCATAGGTGCTCCTAATAATCACATTTTAGAGTGGTGAAAGTTGTATCCAACAGAGGGGAAAAAAAAAAAACAAAAAAACAAAAAAAAAACACTTTAACCGCCTCCCGCCCGCCATATAGTAAAATGACAGGCGCATTGCGGTTCTCTCGTTCTGGGAGGACGTCATATGACGTCCTCCCATTCTAACCGTGCATGTGCGGCTCTGGAAGCGTGGCGATCGGCAGTGCACTGTGTCCCTTGGACACAGCGGATCACCGAACAACATAAAGAGTCGAAGAGGTCGGCTCGTTCATGTGATCAGCTGTGTCTAATCACAGCTGATCACATGTAAACAGGGAAATGCCGGTTATCGCTGACAGCTCGTGAGGAGAGGAGAGCCGGTAATTGGCATTCCTCGGAGGGGACTGTGATGATCGAGGAGTCAGACCCCTGACCTTCTCACCAGACTCGTGACCGAAGGACTAGACAATCGAAAACGTGTCACGTGCGTAACAACGCCATGCCCAGCTGCACCCTGCCCAACGATTTTCCAGCTAATGGACCACAAATCTATGTACCGGCAGCCTGAATGCAATTGTTACTGGGTCAGGTTAATTACGCAATTAACCCTTCACACTGCCACCACTTCCTTTTTGTACAGAGAAAAAGGAAACTCAGCAATATCAGCACTAACACTATGATGGCTGAGATAATCGTCTGTATAGCACTGTCACCGCAGATAGGTTATACAGAGGGTTAAACAAACAGTAGTGCTCTTTTAGAGGCAGGAATTCGTAAATTGCATTAACGAGCTATAGAAACAGTTCAACACTTTCAGAAAGAAAGATTACTAAAAAGGTCAAAAGGGTGCAATAAAAAGATTTACAGAAAAAAAGTTGTGTATATATATATATATATATATATATATATATATATATATATATATTTATTACATACATACACACACACATATATATATATATATATATATATATATATATATATACATATACATATACATACACACACACACACACACATATACACATACACACACATACACATACACACGCACAGAGAACAATAGCACAGCAAAGAGGTAACAGAAAGGAGGTAAAATGTTAATGTACTTGCCAATCAGCCTTGGGTTAAGCAGATCAAGTTTCAGAGCAAAAGGGCACGTCTCCCAAGCTGGTTCTGATGTTAAACGGGAGAATTCTTCAACTTCAACTCTTAGGCCTGAGAGCCTATTTTGTAGTCCCCCAGCAGGGGTGGTCTCTGAAGCAAAGGACCAATGCCTCATTTGGGGAGGGATTGTCTGGGCGGAGATCCAAACTAGAACCAAAATCTCTCTTAGCTCATATCTTTTCCTAGACACAAGTACCATTCCACCCGCGGGTAGATTAATATACAGACGCATTTGAGGAACGGTTAGATATGAAATATAACTTACAGACTTGAATGGTTCAAGAGATGTAATTTTCTGCTTTCCTAGGTATTCCAGTCAGGGAGTGTGTCCTATCAAACGATTTGTCTGATCGTGAGCAATCTGAAGATATGCCTGGTTTTTATGTAAGTCTCTCATATTCCAAGATGTGATAGAGGGGAAAAAATGGATTTTAAAAGTCTTATCTAGTTTCCTTCCTCCTTTGAACTCAGGGGAAGGCTAGGGTTATCTTTTTACGAGGTGCCAGATTGCTCAGCTTCCCAGCCAGTCCAGCACCCAGCTCAAAGATGGTTTATAGCTCGGAGCATCCTGCTGTGCCCTGGCCTGCCTGTGACACTTCTAACACACACACCGACCAAATGTCACTGTGACTCTCAGAGAGGGAGAATGAGGGGAGATATATTTGTACAAAATGGATTATCCTTTGCCAAGATGGAGGTTGGAGCCAAAATGGTTGAACCGTGTCCATCTCTGTGTGCATGATTGCTAAAGGGACATGTACACAGATAATCAGGGCACTGATGATCAGTGTGCCCTGATGATCTGCGTAGCCCCAGCAGTGCCACCTGTCCGTGTCCATCAGTGCCAGCTCTCAGTGCTCATCCATGACACCTGCTTGTTCCCATCAGTGCCACATATCAGTGCACATCTGAGCTGCCTTTCAGTGTCACCCACAGTACCATCAGTGCCAACTATCAGTGCCGCCTATCAGTGCCATATATGAGTGCTGCCTTTCAGTGCCCATCAGTGATGCCTGTCAAGGCCCATCAGTGCCACCTACCAGTGCCCATCAATGCAGCCTATCAGTGTTCATCAGTGCCTATAACTACAGCTTGATTAGTGTACTTCAGTGAAGGAGAAAAATCACTTATTTACAAAATTATATAACAAAAACTAAGAAAAAACTTTTCAAAATTTTCAGTGGTTTTTGGTTTACGAAAAAATAAAAAACCCAAAGGTGATTAAATACCACCAAATAAAGCTCTGTCACAAAAAAATTATAAAAATTTCATATGGGTAGTGTTGCATGACCGCACAATTGTCAAAGTGCAACAGCGCTGAAAGCTGGAAATTGGCCTGGGCAGGAAGGAGGTATAAGTGCCCTGTAGGCTAGTGGTTAAATAAAGTTGCCCAGTAAATGCTCTTAAATTCCCCTTTATGTTGGGGCTTTATGTGTCCATGCAGGAGCAGAAATATGAATACACCAAAATCACGTTCAGGAGAAGAGTGTTTGGGCAGAAAAAAAAAAAAACGAAAAAAAACTTGATGCGCCTAAATGTTAGCCACATTTAGCTCTTGAGCATTCATTCAATTGAATGGCCAGAATAATTTAATATTCTGACAAAGAAAATCAATGAATGCCTAAATGCTTGATGTGCTAAATGCGTTAGGAAAAACAGCACTGTTAAAAATGCACCTAAAGCAGCTTTTTCTTCAATTAGGAAAAAGGCATTCAGAAGTGCCTAGTGTGCATGAGCCCTAGTGCATAAACCAGATCGTTGAAGGGGGGAGTTCAGACAAGTTATCAATGGCTGGTTACTTATAGCTACAGTCATAAATATACTGCAATCCAAAAGGTCACAATGGACCACAGATGAACAGGCCTCAAACTGTGTCAGCAGCAGGGTGATAATATGCTCCGTTTCTGATACCTCTAAATGGTACTTTGTGCCAGGGGAGCCATAAGGGTAGGACTGAATCAGGAAGATAAACAGCAAGTCTACTATGTAATGGATTGGTCTGATTGAGATATGTTGAGTGAAATTTTTATTTTAATATATCTATCCCCCCCCCCCACCTCCAAAATTTCTTTTCTAGCAATAAATAAAAGACAATACACAATTTTACACATAACTTTGTAACCTCTGGCTACCCAAGTCTGGTCTAAAGATTAACATTTTATGCAGACTCATTTCCTTCAGCATCTTGGATAACGATTTTCTTGATATTGAAACAGAAACCAAAATGAAAATGTAGCACATTTCAGGCATCTTGCAACATGCCATCTGGGCCAATTGTGATCCTTTCACACGTAAAAAAAAAAAAAAAAAAATAAAAAAATAATCAGCATTTTTTCTTTTGCTAGAAAATTTAAACTCCCTAACATTGTATATTTTCTGAAAGCAGAGGCCCTGTAGAACAAAATGGTGGTTGTTGCAATTTATTATGTCACATGACATTTGCAAAGCCATTTTGTGTATTTCAGAAAAAAAAAAAAAAAAAAAAAAAAAAAAAAAAAAAAAAAAAAAAAAAAAACACAAAACATAGGCATTATGCTGCTGTAAAAGTGATTGGGTGACATAAGCACTCAGATCACTTCCGCTAAAGGAAACTAAGAGGCACGGTCACTGGGTGACCCTGTCCCTTAGCGGAGGAGGATGACAGCTCATTCTCGGAGCTATAGTGAAGAAAAAGCCAATAATTGCATTTAAAAACAATACTGTTTTTTTTTTTTTTTTTTTTTAATGTAATTACCAGATTTTTTCCCCCTTCACTATTGCTCCGAGAAGGAGCGGTCATCCTCTCCTCCGCTAAGGGGCGGGGTCACCCAGTGACCCCGCCCTTTAGTTTCCTTTAGCAGAGGGGAGAATGACAGCTCATTCTTACAGCTATAATGAAGAGAAAAAAAAAGTCTGTAATTACATTTAAAAACAGTTAGTGACATAGGGGCAGCCAGTGAGGGAGCCTGGGTGTATACACTGCTCCCTCACTGCATTCACTTCTCTCCTGCCCCCCCATCCCCTACAAAGCGGACCTGTCACTCATGCTATAGTCCCCTGATAGCAAAATCATAAGTTAAAAATAAATAAAAACACATTAAAAGTTTAAAGAAAAAAAAATATATAAATTTGAGCTTGCCCACCCCCACATACACAGACATTTCAGTTTCAGTTTTCTACCACGTAAATTCTGAATTTTCAGTATTGGTTTCGGCACCAGAATTTTCATTTTGGTGCACCACTAATTCCTATACAAGTCTATGGGGATGCAAAACCAGCTTGAAATGGGCCATAAGGTCAACTGCAGGTCAAAATAAACCGGTCATTCAATTCTGAATGATCCCAGAAGCATCTCAAACTGATGCCATGGCCAAAGCCAACGAAAAAAGGCCCTTATTAGATCCTAGTAACTGGACAGGCTGAATAATGTATATTTGATGTGGACTTGAAGCTTTGAAAACAAAAAACTCTTGTTTATAAGCCTTAGTGTACCTAAAAGCTAAACTTCAGGAAGATATAACCCTAGGTTCACACTTATGCAGATTAAAGTGCATTTTCGAGTTTTCAGAAACGCACTACAGTTCCTTTAACATGATTTCCTATGGATCTAGTTGACATCTGTGCGCTTTGAGCCAGTGTGGATTTTTGAAAAGGGTCAGAGACTTTTCCTGCAGCAGATTGCATTTTGCATGTAATAAACTTCAATGGAAGTTTGATAATGCATTTTGTGTTTTGTGTGACTAAGCTAGTTGTTAAGGAGCGGGGTGGGCAGCTGGTGTTCTTAAGAACCAGCAAACATGGTTGTTAAGGAGTAGGCAGACGCCTTGACAACCAGCTAAAGTCACACAAAGCGCAAAATGCATAAACAAAAGCAAGAAAAAAAAAACCCCCATAAAATGGACGTGGAAAAAAAAAAAAAAAAAAACGTAAAATGCACCTGGAAAATGCATCAACCTTAATCTGCATGGATGTGAACCTAGCCTAAAAGAATTTAAAGGACAACTATAGGGAAAACTTTTTTTTCCTTTTGGATAAAATAAGGGAAGGTTATAACCCGTTTGTTTATTTTGTTGTCATCCGTGTCCCTTTGGGGAGATTTCCCTTCACTTCCTATATCCTAGACAAAACAGGAAGGGAAATCCCCTGCAAATTAACCACTTGCCATCCGCCCTATAGAAGAAGTACTGCTACAGGGGGGTGCGGCTGCGCAAAATCACACACAAACGCATATGATTTGCATTTCCGGTGAGAAGGCACGCGCGACGCCCTATCCACACTGCCAATAGCAGATGGGGCTGTCAATCACCAGGTCCTGGGTGCAGATTCCCACCCAGCACTGGGTAATCGTCGTCAAAGCTGACAGGGGAAAGACCTGTGTGTAAACAACACAGTCCTCTCTCCTGTCAGCATGGACATGCGGCTTTGTATCTCTGCACAGCATTTCTTATTTGCTGAAATTAGGAAGTACAACCAAAGCGCTTTTGGCTGTACTTCTCCTGTGGATCACAGAAGTGCAGTTCTTTCTGCAGTCCTGTGACCCGTTTTCAGCTGACAGCAGACTAAAGTCTGCTGACGTCACTCAACCGGTCCAGGCTGGGGAAAGATCCCAACTTCAAAGTCAGGATCCACCCCAGAGTCTGGAGTGGCACCTGGCTGAGCCTCTCAGCGAAGCACAGAAAGCCTGAGCCAGCTGCTCCCTCCCACTCCACAGGGGTGGCTGAGCAAAGACACACACAAACTTCAGGGGTATGAACTACCATAGTGCAAAGCTGGTAAAACCAACAGAGTCTGCTTCTCAAGGCAAAATGAAAATCCCTTCCAGCTGCAGAACAGAAAAGGCTTAACTTCAGCAAAATGACAAACTAAAAGTCTGCATATCTTCAGCACATATATATATATATACAGTCATGGCCGAAATTGTTGGCACCCTTGATATTTTTCCTGAAAATCAAGTATTTCACACAAAAAAGGTATTGCATTAACACATGTTTTGCTATACACATGTTTATTACAAATATAAAACAGAGGCAGAAAGCAATATATGACATAATGTCACACAAAACCCCAAAAACTGGACACCCTTAACATAATATTTGGTTGCACACCCTTTGGAAAAAACATAACTGAAATCAGTCGCTTCACACCATCACAACACCTCTCACCCGGAATTTTGGACCACTCTTCCTTTGCAAACAGCTCCAGGTCTACTCTTATTGGAAGGACACAAAAACACCTTTTCCCAACAGCAATTTTAAGATCTCCACACATCTGGGCTCATTGCTGGCCACTTCAGAACTCTCCAGCGCTTCTTTGCCATCCATTTCTGAGTGCTTTTTGACGTATGTTTGGGGTCATTGTCCACTGGAAGACCCAGGCCATACTTGGACGCAAACCCAGCTTTCTGACACTGGGCCCTACAGTGCGACCCAAAATCCTTTGGTAATCCTCAGATTTCATGATGCCTTGCACACAGTCAAGGCACCCAGTGCCAGAGGCAGCAAAACAAACCCCAAAACATCATTGAACCTCCACCATATTTTACCGTATACCTTTGTAGGCCTCATTCCGTTTTCGGAAAGATGTGCTTTACCGAAAAGCCTAACTGTCCACAAGACGTTTTCCCAGAAGGCTTTTGGCTTATCAAGTACATTTTGGCAAACTGTAGTCTTGCTTTTTTATGTCTCAGTGGGGTCCTCCTGGGTCTCCTGCCATAGCGTTTCATTTCATTTAAATGTCGACGGATGCTGACACTGATGCTCCCTGAGCCTGCAGGACAGCTTGAAATGTCTTTGGAACATGTTTGGGGCTGCTT